AATATTTTATAATACTTTGTTGGCTTCCTGCTTTTTCTAAATCTAATTCTTTAAAATCAACTGTTTCCATTATTTCTTTAAAATCATTTGTTTCCATTATTTCTTTAAAATCATCTGCTTCCATTAGTCGTTTTAATTCATCTGATTCTGCTAGTGTGATTTCTTCATTAGTGTTATTTGTTTCATTTATTTTTTGTCGTTTAACTGGAGGTTCTTCACAATCTAATTCATCTAATGTACCTGAAAAATCATTATTAATTATCTCACTTTGTTCAGATTGATAATAAGAATGTAACGGCTTAATTAATTCATCAGTGCTATTATTTGAAGTATTTTTTAATTTTACAGACAATAAATACCAAATCATTTTATGGGGTTGTTTTTATATTAAAAAAATTGAGCTGGTAAATTGATTTATAAAACTTAGATTTTGTCTAAAAAAATGTAGTTTTTAACACAACTTTGATTAAATAAATTTAAACAAGTAGTATTTTTAATTTTGTTGCCTTTATCAGTATTAGAGGCAGGCTTATTATTTTTAGTGCATGTAATTTATTTATTATTTAAATAATAATGATCTTTTTAAATAAAAATTTTAAATTTAAATTTAAATGAAGCAATTATTCACTAAAAAGATTAATAATTTTTGAATCTTTTCTGTCTTGAGATATAACATTTATATATCTTTTTAATTATTCACACATTAAGTTATTATATAAATTTTTGGAAAAAACAAGAGTTAAAAAAATATATATCAATGAATTTAAAATTTAATAAATTGATATTATAATAAATATTTGCAAAATATTGTTGACCTCTTTGGATAAGGTTTCTTTAATTACATTCTTTGAGGTGTTAATTAAAAATTTCTTATGACAATTTATTTATTCACTTTTCTCTCTATATACAGTATGAAACACATAAAACTGTAAAATAAATTTTTAAAAACTACTTAATTTTTAAAGATACGTTTTAAATCTTTTTCTTAAAAAATAATATGTAAAAAGTATCGTAGAAGTTTTATGTATCGATAAATAAAAAATTGCTCTTATTAAATAGTGTTTTTTAAAAAAACGGACATTGTAAAATGGAAAATATAATAAGTTTATGAAAATTTTCATCCTTTAAATTTTAATATACAGTGGTGGAAAATAAAAATGAGACTAACTTAAAGTTTTGTTTAAAAAAGTATTTTAATAAAATTTTATA